CAATATATCAATAAACCAATTTCAAACCCCAACAAGTGATGTGCAACAATCAAAACTTAGCTTCAATCGAAAAGTGACTCAAACTTCAAACCAAACTTCTACAACCCAAGTTCAATCCATTCCAACCCCAAATGAGAAATCAATGTTTTTCAGAAATTAAAGAAAAGAATCAGAAATCACTGAAGCAATTTCAATGGAACAGTAAAAACAATCATTTGTATTTCTTTCAATTTTTTTTCTCCATTCTCTCCCTTGAAATGCAGGAAAACATGCCTTTATAGGCAAGGAAGTAGGGCAGCCTAGAAAAGTTCAGCTTTGCAATTAGGCCCTTTTTCAATTTTTTTTTTTTGCCTAGATAGCCTTAGTTAAATATCTGAAAATCAACTTAAACCCCCCACCCAGCTTCCTAGAAGCTTCTCAATTCAGTTATACCAAGATTCCCCTAAGCAGATTACCCAACTTACCCCTCAAGCCCCTGAATATTACTCTTAAAACCAAATACAGGTCAAGTTGACCTAGTAGCTTGAACCAAACCACACGATTTCTATCAAGACCTGGGCCAATCCCCTTCTTTAGGCCCATGTCTAACTCTACAATTCATTGGAAACGAGAAAGAAAAAGATACAATTCGAACTCCTGAACCAACAACTCAACACGGCCCAAAAATTAAAACAAAGAAATTAGACACACACTAGTTTAACAAATTTGAACTGAACAGAGAAGCTAATAATTGATGTTGATTCCACAAAAACAAAACAAACCACATGCAGCAATGATTTGAAAACTAAGGAAAGAGAGGTAAAAATAAAAGAAACTAAGAGAGGAAATGACTGGGAAATTGGACTTACCAAAGCGAATCTGAGTTAGCTTACCCTTTCTATAGAATACCCCATACTCTGCGGCCGAAGTAGACTTCAGTCACATGTTCTCGACTGAAAACAACACGACGGAAGTCCATCTCAACCTCAAAGGACTCAAAACCTTGATAACCATCTTTTTCTTTGATTTAGGGTTGAGCTTTGATCTGAAATTCGGGCAAGTCCGGAGACATTCGAGGGAAACTGGTTCGGGATTTGGAAAGAAGAGGGTGTGATGGTTGTTTGGTGTTAATTTGGGTGGGATTGGAGTAGACGCTACCGGGCTCGAGGTGGGGAAAAGAGGGGCGGCGGATTAGGGTTGGGGGTGGTCTCTGAAGAGACGAAGGTGAGAGAGAGACGATGAAATAAGGGGGTAGGGGTTTAGACAGTTATATACGGGGGAGGGGTTAGTTCTGGTCCGTTAGATCTTGTTGATCCAACGGTGGGATGGGAAGGCTTAAAATGGCGTCGTTTGGTTTGCTGGTGAGGGAGGACCGGGTTTAGGGACTGGACTTGGGCAAATGGGTGGGAAATAATTGGGCCTTGGCATTGGACTGACCCAATTCCGAGTCTCTAAGTCCAATTCCTCCATTTCCTATTAATTCCCTTTCTTTTCTCTTTTCTTTTTCTCTTTTTTTTCCTGAAAATTAAAACTAAAAATCCTAAATTACAAACCAACTCATTAAGAAAACTAACTAATCCTAAATAATTAACACCATTAATAAATTAAAGAAAAACTACTCAAAAATCAAACATTAAAATTAAAGGGTGCAAAATGACTATTTTTGTGATTTTCCTTTTTATGAAATAACTTAATTATTAAATAATTCCTAAAATGAAAAATTAACTCCTAAATGTACATGCAACACATTTTTTATATTTTTCACTAATGAAAATGCACAAACAAAAATGCAAACCATTAACAGAAAATGCCACGAAAATTCACAAAGTTGCAAACAATGAAAGAAATTATTTTGTTTTGAATTTATGGGAGTAATTCATATAGGGTAAAAATCACGTGCTCACACTCACTAGGTGTTAGGAAAGGTCTTTTTGTGGTAAAGGACCTATTAGGAGGTGGCGAAGAGGCTCACAGTTGGGAATCCAGCTACAAGACCAAATGCTTAATTTAGAGTTCCGGCCTATGGACCAGGCAATACCTTTGGAGCATATACTCCAACCAATTTTAAGGCTTTTCCAAATAAAGGAGGGATGATTGGTTGTGGTATGAATGCACTTGGAAATGAGTAAATTAGCCCAAGGGATTGAGGGATTATTTAAGAGACGCCATGCAAGGCTAGTGAGAAGGGCTTTATTTTTGTCCCGAGCTTTCCTTATGCCAAGCCCCCCTAAAGATTTATCCCTAGTGATAGTGTCCCTGTTAAGGAGGTGCTAGTGTCAGTTGTACCCCAAATGAAGTTCCTAATAATTTTATCAATGCTGGTAATGATTTTACTGGGTAGCATTGTGGTTTGCATGACATAATTAGGAATGCTTGCTAGAGTACATTTAGCAAGGGTGGTCCGGCCGGCTATGTTTAGAAAATTGGTTTGCCAACTAGCCAGTCTTGTTCTTAAAGAGTCCAGAATGTAATAGTAGTCCTTATTTTTGGGATGGTGATTGTGAATAGGGAACCCTAAATATTTCCCAAAGACGTTAGTGCTCTTGATGCCCAAGTAGTTTGAGGCGAAATTAATGTCATTTTTGGAGCAATTGGTGGAGAAGTAGATCCTAGATTTTGAGTAGTTGATTTTTTGCCCAGAGATATTGCAAAAATTATTGAGACAAGATAAAATAGTGGAGCAATTTTTCTTTGTAACTTTCTCCATGAGGGTTAAGTCATCAGCAAAAAATAGATGAGAGAGGTAGGGTCCTTTTGGAGTCACCTTAATGGGTTCCCAAAGGTGAATATCAACAAGGTGATTAATGTGACGAGAGAGCATTTCCATGCAGAGAATGAAGATGTAGAGGGACATAGGATCACCTTGGCGAATACCCCTACTTGGGTTGAAATAATCCGTATGTTGGCCATTTACAAGAATGGAGATTTGGCTAGTGGTTATGCAGGACATAATAAGTTTAGTAATTTTTGGAGAAAATTTAAAGTAATAGAGTGTTTGATAAACAAAGGCCCATTCAATTCTGTCAAACGCTTTTTCTAAATCTATTTTGATGACCATATTACCAACTTTTCTCTCTTTTTTTTTATTAATAGAGTGAATAACTTCTTGGATGATAGTAGCATTATCACTGGCCCGCCGATTTTTCATAAAACTGGCTTGAAGGGGGCTGATGATGGTGGAGAGGAATGATTTTATTCGATTGGCAATTATTTTAGTAATGATTTTGTAAATCATATTACAAAGGCCTATGGGTCGAAAATTTTTAAGGTTGTTGGCATTGGGGAATTTTGGTATGAGACAAACGTAAGTATTATTTAAGGGGGTAGGTATAGTGGAGGTACTAAAGACCTCGTGACATCATGCTAAAACAGATGGTCCAACAATATGCCAAAATTTCTGGAAAAAAAAAGGATAAAGATCATCCGGACCCGAGGCTTTGAATGGTTTAAAGGAAAAAGTGCATTAGTAATTTCTAAATTAAGTAACAGATTGTCTAAGGAGGATAGATTAAGGCTAGAGAAGCTAGAAGGGTTGTTATCAATAAGATTCCTAGTAAAATAGATTATGGAGGTAGTAAATAACGTATCGAAGAATTTGAAAGTGTGGCTTATTATAGTTTCTTGACTATCAAAACAATTACCATGCTCATCTTTGAAAAAGTCAATCTGATTTTTCCTTTTGCGATTGGAGGCGGTTAAGTGAAAAAATTTAGTGTTGGCATCACCATCGTTCAGCCAAGTAATTCGAGATCTAATTTTCCAATAGTCTTCCTCTATCTTAAGAATATCATTGTATTCCCATTGAAGCTGATCTTCTAGGTTGTGAAGGAAAGAACTAGTGTGATAATGTGTAGAGGATTGAATGCCATTTAGCCTAGCGATGATATTCTTTTTTTTATTAAGAAAATTCCCAAAGGTATTATTCTTCCAAGCAAGGACATTTTTTTGAAAATTGTTAGAGGCATTAACGATGTTGTTAGACCAACTATTATGGATAACATTTATAAAGTCAGGATGATTGCACCAATAGGATTCTAGACGAAAGGATCTAGGCCCACTGTTCCTAATGGTATTAGAAAGAGTAAGAAGAAGAGGGTTATGGTTCGAATAGGTCTTAGGGAGATGTGTGACAAAGGAAGTGGGAAAATATTTTAGCCATAAATCATTAACAAAAATGCGGTCAAGGCGTTCCATGATCAAACCTTTAGATCTTTTCCTATGATTCGACCAGGTGAATTTACAGCCTTTATATCCTAAGTCTAATAGATTACAATAGCTAATATATTTCCAAAGGAGGGAGGTTCTGCGAGTATTAATCGGACGACCCCCTAACTTATCACTATCCATAAGCACATTCGTTAAATCACCACCAACCAACCAAGGACCATTATAGTTATTAGAGATGCTAGTAAGATTGTTCCAAAGATCATTCCTATTAGTAACAGAAGTACTAGCATATATTGAACTAAAGAGCCAAGTTTTTTTGTGACAATTACCTCGATCATTGCATAAATGGCTTGGTCCCACCTAGTGAAGCTATGGACATTGACAGAGCTATTGTTCCATAAAATTACCAACCCTCTTGCTTGCCCTTCCGCAGGAACCTCGATCATGTTAGTGAAGTCATAATCGTTCAAGAGTGGTGCATGGGAAACCATACGGGTTTCTAGAAGGGTTACTAAACTAGGTTTATGGGTATCCATTAGATCCTTAAAGTGCCTACGAAAGGTATCATTATTAGCACCTCGAACATTCCACAAGATTATACGAGCAGGTCTATTCATTTGAGGGACAAACAGATTGTGGGCATGATTCCCCCCTCCGGAGATGGAGGTGGGTTCCTTCTCAGGCAAGGTACCAATATTATGGCATTCTTCCTCATTGTGGGGTCCTGGGGTGGTCGAATATCCATGGATCACTTGTACAGTGCCATCGGACAACTGAAGATGTACTTCTTGTCCTACATTTTCCTGAATAATAGCACATTTACATCTCCTATACTTGCAAATTCTGTTGGTAGCTTATGGTGGTAGAGGTCTAAGTCCTCCTCTTCTGCTACCAGGTTTGATATTGGAGGAGGATTGTTTGGAGGGATATTTTCTTGCATGGGAGATGGAGGGCCCTCCTGAGGTGGAGTTTGGTTGTGGTGGGGTTGGATTTTCCATTGCATGAAGATGGGGTTCAGTGTGGTCTATTCTTCTGGTAGAAAGAAGGGGAGGTTGGGAAGTTGGAGGGGTAATGTTGGTGGTTGGTTGTGAGAGGGCATGTTCCATTGTTACTGCATCTCCTGAATCAGAGTGGGGTTGAGGTTGGGAGATAGAGGTTGAAGGATTTGATTGAGCCATGTCTGGTTGACATAGTAATTCATTGCAAGATGCATTCCTTTGAAAACTAGTTGTGCGAGATACTGAGGGTTCTGGATTATTAGGACAGTCTCCTGGACATTGATCATCATGTTGAAGGAGATGGCATGGCCCATGAGGCCCATCTCCAGCCAAGAAAGAGGTTGATGGTTCTGGGCTGGTGGAGGAGAAGTTTAGTAGTGGGGTGGATTGGGCAGTGGGAGAGGGAGGTTGTTTATGGCTGTTTGGTATTGATGATTGAGTATTTGAATTAGGTTTAGCCTCCTTCTGAGAGATAGTGGAATTCGTGGCATGGTTGTCACCTTGGTTTATAAGGGATTCTGATGGAGAAGAAGAGTGTGGAGTAGTAGGAATAGGTAGGTGAATACTTATAGAATCTATAGGCATGCAAACCGTTTGAGGCGTGGATGGATTAGCAAAATATTTGGGGCAGAATTTCAGTGAACTCTGAAGATTTCGATCTGCCATTTGCCTATTGCATGCAGTGGTTGTTGACAAGTGTGAGGTGGTAATTACAGTAGAGGGTGGGATGGAGGCTTCGAGTGCATGCATCTGACTAGGGGTTTGGGTTAGCTTTGATGTGTCTATTGGCATGTGAGGTTTAGTAGTAGGATTAGTAGAGTTAAAATCATTTAGGCGTGGCTCATTAGAGGAAGAAACTGGTAATGATGTAGTTAGACAGGCTGCCATATGGCCATCATCGAGGAAAAGGGGTTCCATGTCAGCCTCCATGCATTGGGCGATCATAGAGTCTGTTCTGCTAGTAGAGGTGGTATTGTCAGTGTCTGTGGGATGGATTTGTAGCTTTGCAAATTGATTTGTGTGTTCCTGAATTTTGAGAGTAGGAGTATTCATGTGGGAGTGTAATCGTTGCTTATTGGTCCAAGTTTGTCGGAGGCAATTTTATTAACATATTTCAGATTTTGAGTGTTTAAAAACTTACATGTTTCAGCATCAAAAATTCGAACCTTTATACCTATATTATCAGGAGAGGGGTTTTGTTGTTGAGATGGAGAGGTCTTCTTTCTGGAGAAGGAGACTGTGTGTCATTCCTCTCTAAGCTCGTTGGTGGTTGATGGAGGGAGGACTGGTGGTTGTTGTGGAGTATTGGGGCTTGCATATGGACAACTGCCTTGAGTGTGGCCAAGTCTCTCACAATTCTTGCATAGAAAATGCTCCCCTTCGTATTGTATGACTTGACGATGCTTGCCTATGTAAATGTGTGATTTAACTGGGGAATCCATTGGGAGTTAGAGGCAGAGTCTAGCATATCTGCCTCTTAAAGTGGTAGAGGTGAATGCATTGGTCTTTACTAGCTTCCCTATTTTATTACCAATTTTTTGTAGGATGAGGGAATCATAGAACTCAGTGGGAAGGTTAGGTAATCGAACCCAAACTGCACTGATGTGTGGTCTGGCTTCAGAGGCAACGAAATTTGGGGACCATCGTTGTAAAGACAGATAAGAACCATTGATGAACCAAGGTCCTCCATTGAGGGCCTTGAACATGTTTTTTCAATGGCGAATTTAACTATGTAGTAGTCTGACCCTAAGTCTATTAAAGGAAAGGATTTTGAAGATTTCCACATATCTTGTAGCTTCCTTTTTAGATAGAGATGTTGGACTCGTTTGCCTAATAATTTGATGATGAGAGAGTGCCTCCAAGGATAATAGATGCGCTGCAAATCCTCCGAGGAGAGGTTTACTTGTAATTCTTCTGACTGAATTGGTTGATCTTGTTCCATGGTGGCAGTAGAGTTAGCCATTTCTATTTCTCTTGTACCGTTTGGAAGTTGCATAGATATGAGGTGGTCAGGGGAATTTGAGAGGAGAATTGCTTTGAAAGAAGGGATAGAATCATGGGGGTGGCGGGTGAGATAGAGTTTGGATCTTGAGTAGATGGAATAGGAGATGAATCTGGTGGTTTTGGAGGAATAGAGGAAGGTGGTAATGATGGAGAAGTAAAGAGCGTTTCTTCCACTCCACTTAATATTTTAACCCAGTATACTCATAATTGAGTACTATAAGTTTGTCGTGACTTCCAAGCGTTTGTGGAGACCATGGGCGGATGCAAAGGTAGAGGTTATGAATTTGGTTGAGCCCAATAATTTTTGGCTCAAACTGTGTATTTGTGTTAAGAAATTTATTATATAAAAATATTAAATTTTTAACCAAGTAACCCAACTGTCCAGTGAGCTCGGTGGTAGAACCCATAAAGTTCAAATTTTGAATCCACCTCTAGTAGAGATATCTTCGATTATTCCTATTCCATACAGACGCATGCATGTACTAGGTTCGAGGCATGCCGTACCTCCTCCCCCACTCCTTCCCGAGGCACATGCAACAAATTATATTGAAACCATGTGTTTTCAATGCGGAACATAAAAGTATATATCTAAAAAATCATTAAAGTTTCAAATATTTCTTGGAAAAATGGGCTTGTAATAATTGAAATATTTTATTTAGATTTTAATTATTTCAGACCGTAAAATAGTCCATAAACATGAGCCCAATTATAAATGTGATAATTAGATATTAGGTTGTGCACATTATGTGCTTGCTACATTTAGTGAGACTCGTTAGTGTTTCAATATTTGCAGCTAGGTCCTCCTCTAACCTTTATATAGGGCATGTATGTGGCTGATTTGGATTATCTATCAAGAGAGTGACTAATGGAAAGGAAAACCTAGTCTGTTTAGAGTCTGATATGGCTCAAACAGATACCACGTTCAATTCTACTAATCTTATTTTGTATCTTATTATCATGTGCAGTCTAGGAATTTTATTATGTTAACTATCTAACAGTACTAAGTTCTAAACCCATATTTTTTATAGTACATTGTTTAGTGCCAAGAACGTTAAATTTGCAGCCAAAAAGGTTTAAATCAGGAATCCGCATATGCTTCCTTCGATTCTTTTCTTTCATTACACGCATCTTTCTTAATCATTTCATGCATTTTAAGCACATAATGGAGTAGCATTATTGTGCTTTTTTTTTATATATAAGTCTGACCATAGAACTCTTCAGGGAAATAGATCGTTATTGTTTCAAATATCATGGTAGCAGTGAAGTCAATCTTAAAATTTTGTCTCTCTCGCTTTCGCTGGTTTAAAATATTGCCATAACTAAAGCTGACGATTTTTTTTTAATTTGGCATATATGATTTTGTTAGTCAACAAGAAAAACGCAAGAGTTGATATTAGCACGATAGAAATTAAGAGTTGGAATTAAATTTATTGCATAGGACAGCAGCAAAAAGTAAGCAAGAGGACGATCTGAGGCAGAGTTAGCCTATTAGGTGCAGGTTTGGCCGAACTTAATCGCTTTTACTTAAACATTATATTTATATTATGAAATTCATTAAATATGTATAAATATTTAATTGCTAACCAAGTAACTAAGTTAAGCTATGAGTTCTCATATTCAGAACCCATAAACTTCAAATCTTGATTCCTCCTCTGACAGAGGAAGACAATATCACGAAGGAAAAAGTATAACAACTAAGTACCAAGTATTCTTTTTAATTTCATTTTATATGACATTAATCTTTACGTTTTAGTTTTTTTTTTTAAGGAATGATATCATATTTGAGAATAACTTTTTTAACACTTTTTATTTTACTGAGGAAATGTAATTAAGCAATCAAAAGTGTACTTTTTAGCAACTTAAACTTTTAAATAAGTTAATCACAACTTAAATAAGATATCACGGGCATAATTTTTGTCCATCAAAATCAGCTTGTGTGGCAGTCAAGCCCGGCACTTGACTTCAGCCTTCTCACAACACTCAACCAAAATTACAGCAACTTCATACTTAGAATATTTTTAGGTAGCTTTCAACGTAGTAAGTTTAGGAACGATTTAGGCAACGAAATTTTGTAAAGGCAATAGAAAATTAACAAGAACACAAGGCACAATATACAGGAAACTCTTTTCCAAACTTTTTATTTAACTCGAGCATACAAAGAACTCAAACTCGAAGTACAACCGAGGTACAAAAGAAGATCACTCTTGACCCTCAGATTTTCTCAAAAGACTATTCTTCGCCTTAGATATTTTCACTCTTGAAAATAAACTTAGGAACTCTTTCCTAACTCAAACATGCACTCATACACGTTTTTCTCTTCTTATGTGCTCCCACATGTATTACAAGCATAAGGGTTCTGCCCATTTATAACACATAAGATAGTCATTTGCCTTTACACTTGTCACTGTTAGGCTTAGACACTTGTCCCACACAACCCACTATTTTAGCCTAGTATAGTTGACATCTCTCAACTACTAGGATCATGTAGATCATGCTAGTAATAATGGAAACATGGCCCCAAAACGTGCTAACATAATCTTCCAGCTTTGAGCAGAAGTCAACTACTGCCCATGTACACAACATATGTCGTGTACCCGCCTTTGACTTGGTCAATCTGAAGCTTGCTACCCTTGTGAATGCCTTGACTTGAATCAGGAGCCAATGTCTTGTTCTCAGGTGCATTGCAGTCACAATTAGCCCATGCNCATAATCTTCCAGCTTTGAGCAGAAGTCAACTACTGCCCATGTACACAACATATGTCGTGTACCCGCCTTTGACTTGGTCAATCTGAAGCTTGCTACCCTTGTGAATGCCTTGACTTGAATCAGGAGCCAATGTCTTGTTCTCAGGTGCATTG